TGCTGACTGACAAAAAATGCAGCTGATTCCAATCTGAACTTGAACTGCTGAGACCCGATGAACTGCCTCCCTCACAATTCGGGTTAAAATCAGGATGTGGCCCTTTCCCTTCTCTTGCTAGCTATTTTGGGTTATTTTTGCTGAAGGCAGATGTAATTGTTAAATGTGCAGATGTTACATTTAGTTCCTCCTTTTTGCATGTGTATCTTTTCTTTGCTTTTTTCCTTTTACAAGAAACAAATTTAATTAAGAACTATGCACATTTTCTTTCCTGGGCCTGTTTGGCCTGGTTAGAATGCTTCTGTTTAGGGAAGGGGCGCCTGGGTGGCTCAGTCCTTTAAGCTTCCGATTTAGATTCAGGTCACCATCTCACAATTTGTGGGTTCAAGCCCCACGTCAGGCTCTGTGCTGACAGCTTGGAGCCTGGAACCTGCTTCAGATTCTGGATTCTGTGTCTCCCTCTCTCTCTGCCCCTCCCCCACTTATGCTCTGTCTCTCTCTGTCTCTCAAAAGTAAATAAATGTAAAAAAAAAAAAAAAAGAATGTTTTTGTTTGGGGGAAATTTGGACCTGGATATTTCTCTTCAATCCTCTTTGGAGTTCATGGTTCCAGGACGAGGCTCAGTGGACATGCCCCATCCCAGGTCTGATAAAACTAGCTGCACTTAGAAGAAAGAAATCTAGATGCCAAGGAATCATCTGAATACTTAAAAAGGAATGTGGGCTTATGGGCAAGGGCAGGGCTGGAAGACTGCCTCAATCACATAGGAGGGACAGGAGAAGTAAATTAGGGAAAGGGGCTTTAGCTCCTTCCTACCTCTTCTTGACAAATGGTTTGTGTCCTTCCTAAGTCACATGTTGAAATCCTAACTCCCAAGGAGATGGTATCTGGAGGTGGGGCCTTTGGGAGGAGATTAGGTGATGAGGGTCTAGCCCTCATGAATAGGCTTAGTGCCCTTAAGAAAAAAGTCCCAGAGAGCTGCCTTGCACTTCCTCCATGTTCAAGAACACAGCTCCTATAAACTGGGAAACAGCATCTCATCACACACTGAATCTGCCAGCACCTTGATCTTGGGCTTCCCAATCTCCAAAATTCTGTAAGAAATAAATGTCTATTGTTTACAAAACATTCGGGTTAAGGGACTCTTGTCACAGCAGCCCAAAGGGACTAGGCACCACCTCGGCATAATAACTTCCTTTTATTGAGTCACCTGCCAAGCTCTGTTCTAAGTGTCTGCCATGCATTCTTAAGTCTCAGTACTTCTATAAGGCAGGTGTCACCGCTGACACTTGCAGGTGAGCAAGCCAAGGTTAGAGAATTAAGTCACTCACTCGGTTAGCAGCTAGGGGAGGGTTAGGACTGCAGTGCTGATCTAATTCCAGACATGCTAGGGCCTCCTGGCATCTTTCCCCCCTTTCTCCTTTTACCCCTCTCCAACTCCCCCAGTTTACACTTAGGGACAAGTGTGGTTCCAGCCCGGTTAAGGCTGATCTGCGCAGTACCGGGTCACATGACCTAGGTTAAGGCAATCAGTGCAGGGCCAAAGCAAAGGGCCCGGAGAGGTCATGTGACCCAAGCCTTTGCAGGTAGAAGGAATGCAGGGCTTTGGGAGAAGGGTGTCACTCTCCTTTTGTACACTGGACAGGGTGTGAAACTATTTGCTGTTATAGGAAAGACTGAGAGTGAAAGCAGTATTCAGAGGGCCAGAGGTGCAAGAACCATGGAGAAATAGAGGTGAAACACCATGAGAAGTGTTAGTGTCTGCGGCAAACCAAAGCTGGTGCCAGAAACACGTGGGGGCTCAGCAATCAAGGGGCCAAGGAGGCCCCTGTATGTCTAAGACTGAGTTGAGTCTCTGTTCCTTATGCTCAAACATTCTAAGTGACCTGGTCACACTGCCCAAATGGATCTTCAGCTTTGTGCTTGAGTGCTGGCCTTGGGCCCTTCCCACCAAATATATAGATACACACCCTGGAACAATTACACCCTGCATATGTGTAATTGAAAATGGAACATGGGTTTGAACTGCCAGTGCCCATGTCTTTGCTGATTTTTTTTCAATAGAGTGCAGTATTGTAAGTGTATTATCTTTTCCTTATGTTTTCTTAACATTTTCTTTTCTCTAGCTTACTCTGTTGTATGAATACAACATTTAATACATATAACATACAAAATATGTATTAACTTATTGTGTGATTGGTAAGGCTTCTGATCAACAGTAGGATCTTCGTAGTTGAGTTTTTGGAGAGTCAAAAGTTATATGTGGGTTTTTACTTGCATGAGGGGTTGGTGCCTCTAATCCTCGTGTTGTTCAAGGGTTAACTGTATATGTAAACACAGAGATTTAAAATATAAGGAGAGGCCTGTGGGCACCAAAATGCCTGGAACTGTCTTGTTTCCACAAGAGTTCTTTGGAAACATAGCATCATCTTGAATCAAACTGATTTTTTTTTTTCAGGGAATTTTATTGAGAAGTTTATTAAGGATTTTTTTTTTTTTTAGTTTTTTTTTCAATGTTTATTTATTTTTGGGACAGAGAGAGACAGAGCATGAACGGGGGAAGGTCAGAGAGAGAGGGAGACACAGAATCGGAAACAGGCTCCAGGCTCCGAGCCATCAGCCCAGAGCCTGACGCGGGGCTCGAACTCACAGACCGCGAGATCGTGACCTGGCTGAAGTCGGACGCTTAACCGACTGCGCCACCCAGGCGCCCCTAAGGATGTTTTATAGTGATTTTGAAACAGCAGCAAACTCTGTGAGAAGATGAGACACAACTTAAGTTCTTTGTCAGTGTACCCCCCTCCCCACACGTGGGGGGGTTACCCCAAGAGAGCTTGCCTTGGTATTGCCCAGCCCCCTCCCTGAATAACTCTTGCTTCCTGCAGGGGCAGTTCCAAACTTCATCTTAGTTATTAATTTTCTGCCAGAGTGTTTAATAGTGATAATTATTCTGGCATTTCTCTGACCAAGATGGTTTGTGTTTTATTTTACTATTTTTTTAAATGTTCATTTACTTATTTATTTTTGAGAGAGAGAGGGTGGGGAGGGGCAGAGAGAGAAGGAAAGACAGAGAATCCCAAGCAGGTTCCACTCTGTCAGCACAGAGCCCGACGTGGGGCTCAAATTCACAAACTGCGAGATCATGACCTGAGCCGAAGTTGGATGCTTAACTGATTTGAGCCACCCAGGCGGCCCCAGTTTGTGTTTTAATAGGAGACGCGGAACCAGTGAAAAACTTTCTCAGCTTGCAGGAATGAAACTCATGGTGAAATTTAAGGCCCGTGACAGGACACAGAAACATTTTGTTTTCCTCTCAAGTCAATCCTTTAGTGCAGCCTCTGTGTATTCATGAGTACTCAGTCATGGCTAGGGCCAGCCCCGTACATGGAAACCCTTGTTTAACCCAAACCCAGAGATCTGAACCTCTCTCTCTTTCTCTCTCTGTCTGTCTCATGCTCACGCGCAGGTGCGCGCGTGCACGTATACACGCATTGTCAATGAATTTTAAGAGGACAAAAGAATAGGAAGGGAAATTGCAGAAAAATAAGAAGTGAGATTGTTTCTACTTGTCCCTGCCTCTGGAAGGCTGTGACCACTGTCCTGAGCTGTTGGAACGTGTGAGTGCCCAGAATCTCCACACGACTTTTACTGCATGTTATGGGAAAGGAAACAGGGGCATGTCTCTCTTGAGGGAATGCCATCTATGTACATAACAGGATCACCCCCGTGTGTGGATTTAGAGGTTTGCTCCCCAGCGGGGCATAACCACAGTATGTCTTTTCTCCCGAGCATTTATGGGTGTAGGTGAGGACACTGCTATAATTTTGTTTCTCCATAGCCAAAAAACCTCAGATGCTGGTTTTAAAGTTTTAATTCCCCAGGCATTTACAGCCTGCTATTCTGGGTAGTTTAATTATGTGCGGATGGTAATTAATAGCAATGAACATTTTTAAACTCTGTAGTTTTCCTGTCTTAATCTCTAACATAGTGGCATTTGTGTGGATATCAAAGACCTACAAAGTCAACCCAGTCACCCTATGCCAGTTCCCCAGTAGGAGCAAGAGGGCCAGATGCTGGGCTGAGGGACACTGGAAGGATTGGGGTAGGGGAGGAGGGCACAGGATGGTGTCAGGGATGTGGAGCCCACCGTGCAATTCTGCACATCCTGGGACAGAAAAAGACAGGGCTGCCAAAACGGCTCTAACAGCAGACAGCAACCGGCTCCTTTGCAGGGGGCATTGAAGGAGATGTTTCTGTGCGTGAATGGATGTGTCCACACCGATCAACATGACTTTTTAATATTTCAAGGGACCGCACACTTGACGAGGCAGGGACAGTGTCTGTTTTGCTCCCTAGAGAATCCTAAGTGCTGAGCACAGGGCCTGGTACTTAAGTGTTCAGTAGTTACACATGGTGAATGAATGAATGAATGCATTACTGAGAGCCATGGTGTGCTGAGGCCAGGGGTAGCCAAGGCTTTTGGGGTGAAGATGTAATGAGGTTTGGTAGGTGGGACTTTTTTTAAGTGTTTTTTTTTTTTTCAACTTTTTTATTTATTTTTTTGGGGACACAGAGAGACAGAGCATGAATGGGAGAGGAGCAGAGAGGGAGGGAGACACAGAATCGGAAACAGGCTCCAGGCTCTGAGCCATCAGCCCAGAGCCTGACGCGGGGCTCGAACTCACGGACCGCGAGATCGTGACCTGGCTGAAGTCGGCCGCTTAACCGACTGCGCCACCCAGGCGCCCCTGGTAGGTGGGACTTTGATGTCACTCTGTAGGGTTTCATCGGCTCCTCGGCCCTCGCGGCCAAAGGGCCTGGGACTTGCCTGGGAGAAGGAGGAGGAGAAGGGGCATATTTTCCCAATATCCTCAGGACGTCAGCTTCCTGAATCTCAGAACTACTTACGCTGCGCCAGCACCTGGCACCCTGTCTGGAGGAAATTACATTGTAACTCAAGTATGGCACTAAGATCCTTTGAACAGACCATCAGGAGCGACTGTGGGCCAGATTTCTTTATTCTGGGTAACTGAAGAAGTGCTCCCGAGGAGCTGAGAAGCAGGAGAGCCTGGCCGTTTGGAGGAGGGTGGACCCACGGGCTGGCGACCATCAGGAGGCTCCTTTAGAAGCACGTACACCTGTGGAGTCTGGGGACGTCTGGCCCCCGGGGCTAAAATCTGCACCTGCACCTCTGATGAGCCTCTCTGTTGTCGACTGGTGTTTCTTCCAGAGCAGGTTCAGTGTGGGCAGCCTGCAGTTCCCACGAGACAGAGCGTGCTCCGCGTCTTAGCTTCTCAGGAGCAAATGACCGTAGCATTGGCGCAGGCCACGGTGGAGCGCTTCTCATTATACAGTTCCAGCAAGACCTGGTATTCTCCCTGGAAGGGACACAGGGAAAGCATGACGTATGTGACTCCTAGAGCAATCAATCATTCGACAGGTAGTCACTGAGAACCTTCTATGTGCAGGCAGTGTGTTAGACGCTGGGGATGAAGGAGAACCAAGGAAACCGAACTCACGTTGTGGAGCTTATGGGCCTCACCAGGACAGGCAGACAATGCATGAGATACTTCACTGTGCATGCATTGTGTGTGCTGATGCCACAGAGAGAATGCAGGCGGGGAAGGGGATGGACAGCAGGGCCGGGCCGGGCCAGGTGGGGCTGGGCTTGTGCCGTTGGCACAACTGCCGTTGGCAGTTTTAAGTAGGGTGGTCAAGGCAGGCCTTGCTGCAAAGGTGACCTTTGGGCAAAGACCTGAAGTAGATGGGGAGCTGCTTTGAGGGCTGGGCCCCACATTCGAGAAACTGCGAGGAAGCCCAAGGGGCTGTAGGGAGACAGAACCACAGGAAGTGGGGGAAGGACATGAATCGGGGATGGCCTCACAGGCCATGGTGGGGAGACACTGGCTTCCACTTGGAAAGGGTCGCAGGTCATGAGAGCCTCCTCCCCAGAGGAGTGGCCTGATCATGTATACGTGTTAAGAAGATCCTTCCAGCCGCCCTCTGAAAAAAGACTGTAGGGACAGAGAGTATAAGCAGTTAAGACCAGGTAGGAGACCACTCGGGCCTGTAGTGGATGGGGGAGGTGAGAAGAGAGATTGGATTCTGCATAGATTTTGAAAGAAGAGCTCATATGATTTACTGAGGAAACCCATGTGGGTGGCAGAGAAAGAGAGGAGCTGTGGGTGATTCTGAAGACTCTGGCCCGAGCAATTGGAAGATCCAGGGAAGACAGAGAAGACCTCCAGGCACAAGATTCACCCGCACGAAACCACAGCGCTCTATCAGAAAAATTACTACCACCTTTTAGGGTTCCTTTCTGGCAACCACACTCCACAGAGGACTCCCTTGTCTGTGGTTAGCAGCTGGGCTATATATGGAATCGCAGAAAAACCCATGTGTTTGCTCAGCGGCTAAGCCCCGCCCCAAGCCCCCAGCGGCCACACGGTGGTGGCAGGTCTGCAGACTCACCCGTCTGGAGAAGAGACACTCTGGGTGGCAAGACTTAGTGGGAAGCAGGGCAAAGGGCCCAAGAGGGAAGGATCTCAAGAGATTCCTGGCACATCTTTGAAGTGCCTGTCATCCAGAGAAGGAAAGGGGTTTAATCTGTAGAAGCCAGAGGGAAGGAAGAAATCAGAACACTGGATGGAGTTTGCATGAGAGGTAGTTTTTGTTAGAAAAGAACAACTTTTGGGGTGCCTGGGTAGCTCATTCAGTTAAACGTCTGACTTCGGCTCAGTTCATGATATCAGGGTTCGTGAGTTCCAGCTCCAAGTTAGGCTGTCAGAGCACAGCCCGCTTCAGATGCTCTTGTCTCCTTCTGTCTCTGCCCCTCCCCCGCTTGTTCTCTCTCTCTCTCTCTCTCTCTCCCTCTCTCTCTCTCTCTCTCTCAAAAAATAAATAAACATTAAAAAAATAAAAAGAAAAGAAAAGAAAAGAACAACTCTCTAGCAATGAGCAAAGGTCCAGGAGCGAGCGGGTTCCCCAACAATGAAAAGTGCGTTGGGCAGAGCCAGGCTGTGCACTGGATGGTGGCTGAGGGGGGAAGGCTGCTTACAGCCATCCCCCAGGGCACCATTCAGCTGGAGGATCCTGCGACAGCGACAGCGGGGCTCCCTGAGGCTGATCACCCAAACAGGAGCAGCTGTGATTTCAGAAGCAGTTTAGGAATTTCACCAAAGCAGTGTAAAAGTTAGAGAATTAATTCTGAGTAAAGAGCAATGGGAACCTGCATCTGTTTGTGCCACCATCATTGCCATCATTCCTGTCCACTTTTCTTTTAGAGTCCCTGTGCCTTCAGGTACACACCCTACATAATTATTGAAAACCAAATGAATTTTTCATTATTGCTTTATAAGCCTAAGAAAAGATGTAGTATTTGCAGGAAGGTTCTAGATGATGAATTACTGCTTACATTACATATGTGCATACATACCTCCAGGATATGCATACTCTGGTTTAGGAGTAAGGGTATTTAGGCAACTGTGCTCATCCTCAGGCAGGTGGAGGGACATGCTAGGAGGACAGGAGGGGCAGAGTAGGGAGGGACAAGGGACAGAGAGCAGCAGCCTCTGTGCTGTTGAGGAGAGCACTAAATTTGCGAGTCAGGAATTTATAGTTATATACTTAGCACTTACGCAAATTAGACCATCCCTGTAAGCTGTCCACGTACTTTGGAACCCCAAAAGGCCTCTAAATTCTAATTCAGAAAACAGCAGTCCTGGAGATGCAGGGTTCCAGGCAGGACCTCAGTCTGGGCCAAGGGACTGGCTGTGTTGAAAAGCAAATAATACCAAGACACTGCAGATTGACTGCTGAGTGGAAAAGTTTTCAGCCGAACAGGGATAGAATTAGCACAGAGGCCCATCTCTGGGGGATTTGGTGGGAGGAGGGGATCTGGGGCAGGTCTTTTAAAACCAGAAGGCTTCACACTGTCTCTGTCCCATATTAGGAAGCAAAGTCTCTGAGCCTTGCTGGCTGGCTGGCTGCCAAGGAAGCCTGGGCTGGCTGCAGCTGGTCCCCCGCCAGCGTGGGAGCTCATGTTGAGATTAAGGCCTCCAGCTGCCTCCGCTGCATACGTGACAGGTTGCATGTGTCCCACTTGGGTGATGTCCCCTGTTGATTCTGGCCAGGTGTCAGCAGGCTGGGGCACAGTCAGGGCTGGCCAGGCTTCTGCTTCCTAGGCCCCAAAGACGAGGAAGAGGTGGGAGGACCAGCCAAAGAGGACCAGTAGATGCTTAAGCAGCCATGCCCATGGCCAGGACACCTGAGCCTGGCTTTGTCCTCACACCGGGTGACATGCCTGAGCACCGCTTATTGGTTGAGGAATGCAGATCCTGAGCTCACCCAAGTGTCCTAGGGGAATGCAGTAAAGCTTTTTTACATCTCTGCCAGATTTTTCTTTCAAAAGGATTCTGTGTCTCTAGGAAGTTCTTTTCCCCTCCTCCAGGTCATAGCAACTCCCGAGGGGAGCTGCTTTTTTTTTTTTTTTTTAAAGTCAATAATGCAGGGCACCTGGATGGCTCAGTCGATTACGTGTCCCAGTCTTGATTTCGGCTCACGTTTCGTGAGTTCAAGCCCCGCATCGGGTTTTGTGCTGACAATGCAGAGCCTGCTTGGGATTCTGTCTCTCCCTCTCTCTCTGCCCCTCCCCTGCTCACGCTCTTTCTCTCAAAATAAATAAACAAATTGAAATAATATAAAATTAAAAAGCCAGTAATGCCAGATGAAAATCTATTATTTGCAAATTTTAAGCCAATTGCCAGGGGAAGGGGGAAGGGAGGGGTTCAGGAGGAAATCGGGGAAGAAAAAAGAATTCAAGTAGCAAAGACTTAAAGAAAAAACTAACTGGGAGAATTTTGGTTCCACATCCTAGAAGTGAAGAGAGTTTGCAAGACTCTAATATTTCAATGAAAGGCCAGCAGAGAAGACTCTGGAGAACCCCAGAGGGGAAGGTGAAGCCGCAAACTTCCCATCTGTGGGAGCAACAGCTAGAGAATGTTCTAGAGACAGTACGGCTTGCACCTTAGGAACCCAGAGCCTGGGACAGAAAGGAAACACACACAAGATAAATGAAAAGTTAAACAGATTCTTTACGCAGAAGGAAACCCTTTCCCAGAGCCATAGATGGGTTTTGGGATCTGGAAAGCAGAGAGGTTAAAGTTGAAACAAACAAACAAACAAACAAACAAAAAAAGAAAGTTATTACAACCTTGTGATTCCTTTTATGATGTCCCGTAAGATTCTCTCAGGAGTAGCATATTGAAAATGTATTGCTCATGTCAGAGCTGCTTGAGTTCAGCCATTTAAGAAGGTCACATTATTTTGCGGAAAGGAATTTGTGGAAAACTGGACCCTTAGCTGTGAGCCCTGCCGGTGAATGCTCAGGGAGGGGGCATTTTATTCACCTGGTGACAGCCCACTAATAATAGTGTAAGGCTGGTACCTGGGGGCCTTTACCCTTCACGCTTGTGTGTGTGTGTGTGTGTCTTCCTCTCTCTGAACAGCCAGCCTCACAGACAGCTCACGCCCCAGCAGCTCTAGCCCATGCAGTACCCTCAGATACCAACCATCCTGCAGGACAGGATGAGGGCCTCCCTCTCCGTGGGAGCTGTCTGCCCAGGGGATCCCAGAGGGTCCAACAGACATAAAATGTTATAACAAAAAAGGTAAAACCAGTGTGTTAAGCGTTTGTGAGTACCCATCATGAGGTATCAGCTTTACTGAAGAACGGTTTTCTTGGTAGGGGTCAGTGGAAAATGTTTAAACTGTTGAAGTTTAAACTCAAGAAACTGCTCGATACAATAATTAAGTAACAGAACAGAGCAGAAGACCAAAACCTTACCTCGAGAATTTCAAATCCAGGATTATTGATGGGGCCAGCATAATAAATCTGCTCTGAAACATATACAAAACAGACAAATGTTACTCAGTCATATTAAACAAAAATGATTTGCTCCTATTATCTGTGCTTGCTATTCAATAGGGATCTAAGATTGGGAAAGAAGGTCTCTGTTCACACAGTTGCTCATATTCTAGGGAGAACATCGACAACATGTAAATAACTAAACAAGGCAGTGTCTGGATTGTTGAAAGTGCTAGAAGGAGACATGTAGGTGGTGTAAGAGAGGCAGATGGTGAGATGGTTAGGAGGCCAGGCTGGAGCTGGGCTGCCTGGGGTTAAATCCTGAGACCAGCTGTGATAACTGTTTCATCTTGGACAGTCATTATCTCTTTGGGCTCAGTTTCCTTGTTTTCAGAATGGGTATAATAATGATAATAACAGTGTCCACTTCCCTGAGCTCTGAGGAATCAAAGGATTAATCAATGTAAAGCTCTAATACCGGTGTCTGGAAAGCACTCAATAAGTAATTTGCTAAAATAACAAACTAGGAGACGCCAAGTTTGGTTGGATGGCTGGTTAGCTCTAAGGAGATGATATTTGAGCTAAGCCCTGGGGGAAGGGAATGAGACAACATTCAGTAGCTCTGATGCAATAATGGAGAGGGTAGATGGTTGGGTAGTTTTACCAAGCAAGAATGGTAAGGAGAGAAAGTCAACACTGTTGGGAATAGATTGAGGAAAGCTTATAATAACAGACCATGGAATCTAAGGAAGGTAAGGAAGAAAATGGAGGTGTGGGTGGGGGTTGATAGTAGAAACAGTGGTAGAGTTGGTTGAATGGAGTTTCCATCATGGCTGTCAAGGTCCTAGAATGGGTGAGCTGGAAGGACATGGTGAAGGCAGATGGCAGAAGGCTTCACAATGAGATTTCAGAAGTGGTGCATTTTCTGATGATGACAACACACAGCATTGACGTGGGAGTCAGGGGTTGAGGTGGAATGATAGAAACGGTAGTTGGAAAATGGTAGTGGAGGTGAATCAGCTGAGACATTATGGTGGTGATGGGCTGTGACTGCCTCCTCTGTGACTCCCCAGCCCCATGCACTTAACACATTATAAGCGGTGCCTAAGAGCACAGGCTCTGGGGTCAGATTGTCTGTGCTGGGTTTGAATTTTGTCTTTTCTTATTACTAATTGGCCAAGTCACCTAATCTTTCTGGGCCTCAGTGTCCTCATCAGGAAACATGGGCAGGTTATAATAATATTCACCTCAGAGTTGTTGTGAGAATCAAATGAGTTAATACAAGTAAAACTCTTTTAATAGCATCTGGTGCATGGGGAGCAGTCAGAAAGTATTTGCCATTAATATACTCACTCACCAATCCACTCTACAGGGCATCCGCCCAATACAGGCCAGGCACTGTGCCAGGTGCTAGATACAACAGGAGACAAGAATATTATGTGAAACATTTGAATCATTGGCCACCCAGAATTGTAATCATTTGTTTACAGGCTGTTTCCTGCAGTAGCCCGTGCCTTCTTGTTTGCATAGCTCCCAGTGCATTGCAGAATCTAACACACAGCAGGGTGCAATATAGGGTTGTTGTAGAGGTTGTTGAATGAGCAGATACAGAGCCAGGACAGGGGTTTGTCAAGCAACTTCATTCTTGCTCCTGCTATTGTAATCCTCTCCCTACTGGAAGGCTCTGGACCTGGGCTGTTTACATGAAAGACCGGATTAGGGAATGAGCCAGCAGAGCAGCCAATATGGTGGTGAGGGTGGAGGGATGGTAGAGGAGAATGGAGGAGAAAAAAAATGCTTATTAGCTTATTGATGGCATTATGTGTTTTTTAAATATATTCTTTAAAAGTTTACTTATTTATTTTGAGAAAGAGAGAGAATGTGTGGGGGACGGGAGAGAGAAAGGGGGACAGAGGATCTGAAACTGGCTCAGTGCTGACAGCAGAGAGCCCCATGCAGGGTTTGAACTCATGAACCATGAGATCATGATAGAAGTCAAAGTCAGACGCTTAACTGACTGAGCCACCCAGGTGACCCTTATTGATGGCATTAGGTATTCAGCTCTTTTAATGGCACAGTGACTTCTGTCTCACATATCCCCTGGTGCCTAACCACTGCTCAGTAAATATTTGGAGACAGAACAAAATCTCCATGAAATGAGGTTTTGGGTCAAGGGCAGCATGGTTGGTGTGTGAACAGCTGCCCACACAGAATAATATCAGGGGCATGAGGGTAATCCTTTTTGAAAAAGGCCTCTCCAGGCAATCTGAACCTCAACTTCTACCAGGAGACCCATTCATTGCATAGACTTTGGCTTCTGTTAAATGCTCGTGCCCCCAACACATCCATCCTTCCTTCCCTTGGTCAATTTCTTGTACCTCACAAGGAGAACGCACAAACATGGTGGTTGCCAGATGGACAGCCTTCCTATTTCATTGCACTAAATGAAGTGATCCATTTATTTTTGAAAGGAAACTGATATTTGGTTGTGGATATAAGCAAAAACTTTAATTGGAAACTACTTTTCCGTACAAGATGATTTTGGAAATAGAGAATTGAACTTCTGGATCTTATCCTTGAGAATCTTCCGGTGCAACTGAGAAAGATACAATGACTAGCTACACTGAATGTTAACTGTGTGAGGAGTGAGTGGTATATGTGGGTGGTGTATCTCACAAGTGCAGAGAGCTCAGAGGGGGCTGCCTAGGATTGGACTGTAGTGCTGGCATACTGTACAACCTGAGGGCGTACCATTCACATTATAATTTATGTGAGTGGTGCCCCCTGGAGTTGTGCAATGCAGTGGCCCAACTACCAGTACACTGTTCCTTTTTAGGAAATTCTCTCTTCCCCAGGGGATGTTATTTTACCCAAGCCAGAATAATCTGAACAAGAAGACAATGAGACCCAGGACCAATCTATTCTGTCAAAAGATGGTTGATTTCGACTCACTGGTATCTAGAGCTGTTCACTGTCTGCCTGGGGTTGCAGCCTTCTTACTGCGTCTGTGACTCCTAGATAGCCTTTCAGAAAATCCCTTTGCTTTTGTTGTCTGCTTTTGTTTCTGCTACCCACAATTCAAGGACTGTGAATGCTGTGGGCATGAACCAGTCAAAATCATTCATGCTGGCCATCAAGGTATGGGAATGCAGTACAGCCCAGGAGCAGAGCCCAAGAATGGAGAGAGGGAGTGTGCTTGTCTGTGTCTGGTCTGGTTGGGTTCCCCTGGAAACATTTTACCCCTGCTTTGTGCTTCTACTGATTGTTCTAAGGTGGCATAGTGCAAATTACTTGACCTTGGAAGCAGACAGACCTGTGTTTAGGACCCAGCTCTCCCATTCCTCAGCTGAACATCCATTCTGGAACTCAATTTCTGCGCTTGCAAGATAGAAATGGGACTGACTCTCCAGCAGGGCATTGAGAGGACCAGAGAACTTGTGTATAAACTTGATGAGAAGAGTGGGGTTCCCAGTAAGGGCAGAATCACTAGTTATTATTATTGTTACTGTTATTAGTTGTATTATTATTCACTGGATGTGAAGAAGGGTGACGTAATGAAAACTCACTTGGATGCTGAGGAACACATCAGGCCTAGGTTTTGGAACCTTTGGCAGAGCTAACAACCAGTAAATTCTGTGGGTGCCTTTGTTTTAAAGAAATGCATGAGGACAACTCTTTGAAGACTAACATTAGAATGACATCTAACATTCTATTATGCTCATTTAATGCTCCAAGATTTGCGAATTTATGTTTCAAATAAAGGGGTTCTTTACTGGGCCAAGGGGGTTTTCATTAAATCTGTCTCTTACACTTTACGGTTTCAGTTGGAGCTTTTTGGGGGGTCCATGAAGTTCCGGAGCATGGCTGCAGGTAGCTCATGAAACTGTCTTCTTTTTTTAACCTAATGAAACAACACCTAAAATTAAATTCTCGCCCCTTCCATTCTCAGATCCTCCCTGATTCTGAGATTCCTTTAATTAACATTCTCACACTCCCGTTCTATAAAAAGAGCCCCAGTATATCTGTACCCACTCCTTCCTTTCCTCCATTTGAAATCTTTATCAGTTTTTAGTGTGCTGTGGATTAAAGAAATCCACCTCCCCGGTTCTGAGCCCATGAAGTCATTTCTGCGAATTGGCTTTGTTTTTGACCCAAATCTTTGTGTGGTTGGCACAGAGTGTCTTTTTCAGAAAGGAAATTGATTTTTAAATTGTGGAAATAAAAGGTCCCAAAGGGTTTTGGATCAGATGGATGAGGGGCTCAGGGCTGCCTCCCACTCTATAGCCTTTTGTCCTCAGCCACCAGTGCGGGTGCTGGCCTGGAAGTGCTCCCTGCAGGCGTGGGTTCTGTGGGAGGAGTCCTCCCCGTTTCCTGGCCCTTGCTGGTGCCTTCTTGCAATTGCCTCCAGTCTTCCAAATTTATTACAAAAATGTCATCAATATTTCAGCATTATTAGGGTGCTCGACAGTTTAAAACTGCTTAGAGTTATAATTTATGATAAGTCGGTCCATTAGTATATTCTGACAAAGACTTAAAAAATGATCATTTATTTATTTGCTCAGCTTTGAGCCTTTTCTCACCTGCCTGGCCCAGTTGGGGGAATCTTTGGGGGGTTGTGTTGAACTAGGAGGGCACAGCCCTCACCCTGTCCTCCAGGAGTGGGAGCATCTCAGGACCTGGGAAGGCCCCATACAAGGGCTCTTGTGGGCAGTGGTCCCACAGTGAAGAGAACATTCCAACCAGACCAAAAGCCTTGTCTCAGGAGCGAGAGGGAGCGAGTGTATTACTTCATTTTGGTGAGCTCTAAATATATTGTTCTTTCCTCTCTCTGCCTCTGGGCATTTCTTTAAAGAGGCCCAAGTCTGTAGGTGGCACAGGCCCAGGCACCAGTCCTCATCTCTTCCCTGGTTTTAGCTCTGCTTTTTTCAGTCTCTGACCTTGCAGGGTGTGGAACGTGTTTCTTGGTCCCACAGGGCACTAGCTGCTGGTTAGGGCACTCATTTAAATCGATAATGAGCCTGCCTGCGTGGGGACCTGGAACAGGGTCCCCTGCCTCCAGGTTGAGTGTGGCTGCAGATAGACTCCCTGAGGGCCTGAAAGTCTGGAGGTTTCATCCAGGTTTCAAGGGATGGATTCCAGACAGTTTGGGCAGATAGCCCCAGGCTAGGCCCAAGCCCAGGCCCAATTTTTATTTACTATCATCATCATCATTATTATTATTATTAATTTATTTATGTATTGTGTGTGTGTGTGTGTGTGTGTGTGTGTATGTGGTGTGGTACCTTGTCAGCTTCTCCATCTCCTGGGCCATTTCACCTATTAGTCTCTAGAGCCTCTGCAGTTCTTATGTCCCTCCTGCGGGCTTGCCACCAGGTAAGCATGCCTGTATCACCTCACAAGTGATCTCAGTCTCTGAGTACAGTTGCACACGCAGCCCTGGCCGAGGGGGTAGGTGATTGGAAGCAGAAACACAGCTCCTGCCCCACGGGGCCAGACTGTGCAGGCTGGGGCTGGGCTGGGCCCTACCTGCAGATACTTCTGGTGTCCCGGCCACATCCCCTAACCAGTTTTGAAATCATGGCAGCCTTGGTGGCATCAGCCATGCCTCTGACATTATCCCAGTTCAAGAGCTCACACCTCTCTACACTTTCCCACTGCACAGCAGCCCGTGTAGGACAACCAGGAAGTGCAGGGACATTATCTTCTGCAGGCCTTCAACCCACAAGGACTGGAATCTGGGGATGTATTCCATAGCCTCCTGACTTTCAGAGGGGCAATTCTGAGATGCACACCGCGGTTCCTGAAGGATCCGACTGAGCCCCAGTTTTCACACTGGAAATCAGCTTCCCATTCATCCCTTCCTGGCTTTTCCTCCTCTCTGGCATAACTACTCATCCCCAAGACCTTGTCTCTGACTTTGAGGGGGGACCCCAAACTAGGAACGCTTCCTGGCAGAAGGTGAACCTTTTATTGAGGCCCCATAAAAGCTAGTCCTAGAAAGCTGGCTGCTGATATATTTGGGTCTGAGTCTAATGTTGGAGCCACCCAGCCTAGGAACAATGTGAACACCCTGAAAGCTGCTTTCTGACTGGCTTCTATGCCAAAGAGCAGGAAGAAGAATGAATGCCTTGGTAGTCCCTGAGACGGCTCGGAGCCTCGTGCTTTGGAGAGGACAGAAGTTGGGAGAAAGGGACAAGGAGGTGAAGACCTCCCTGGGTGTGTGGAGGTGAGGGAGCCGACAAGCTCAGGGAAGAGGGAGCAGAGAAGGAGAGGGAGAGGTGCAAAGCTAGCCTCTTGGCTTCTGGTTTCTTCATTCAGTCACATGGACACTTCCTGTCGCTGAGCAATGGAGCATTGTAATAAACAAAGTGTCTTCCATTCACTGATTCGAACTTTTGGGATTCCCTGGCATATCACATGACCCTTTTATTGGGAGAATTTTTTCTGTTGCTACTAGGAGCTCAGTAGTTAGAACATGTTCAATTTTATTTCCAAACATATCTTGAGATGTGCAGCATGTCATTTGGCCCCTTTGGCCCATTATTGTCACTCTGAGACCCCATAAAGCTCTGGGCATCATAACTGTGTTTGTTTTTTTTTTGTTTTGTTTTGTTTTGTTTTGTTTTTTTTCAGAATTAACAGCTGTACGTTGGAGCTCATAAGTATCTGATTAGAGTTTGGATTACTACATCTTAGCTTTGCTTATGCTACTTTGATATCTTTACCTGTTCCTTCAAATGGGCTTATGAGAACTTCCTTTTGGCCTTTTCCACTAGAGAAACTTAATATTATTTACAACTTAAAAACATTCACTGTGTACTTGCAATGGATCACTTATAAAACTATGAAGTGAGAAGCCTTCCAAGATTTACTTGTTCATGGTCCTGTGATTTACACTTCTCTGGTGATTCAGAGATGTGCCTGTTGTTATCCCTATTCTTTTTTTTTTTTTCCTAATAGCACACTGGCTTCCTCTTAATAATACATTTTTATAAATGTCTCATTGCCATCTTATCTTCTTCCTCTGCCAGAATGATTCCAGCAAATGGGTCATGGAATTGACTTCTAGCCAAATAGCTTCTGTTGTGAGTAGGGTCCAATGACAGGTGGGGGCTTTATGGGGTCTTGGATAGGGTGACAATAATGGCCCAACAAGGCAAACCTTTTCTTAGCAATGATATGGTCCCCTAACAGAAAAACTCGTTATCTCTCCTCAGGTAAATCAGTGACTGTATCATCTGTGAAGTCTCCAAACTGTTTGACTTCTGTGAGGGTATTTTCATTGAAAACATATAGAGTTTGAGTTTTCCTTGGATTATACACAATTATTTGGCTTTTTTTAAAAAATAAAAAGTAAAGTTTTCCTTTAAATGTTTACTTATTTTTGAGAGAGAGAGAGAGAAAGAGAGAGAGAGAGAGAGAAAGAGAATGAGCAGGGGAGGGGCAGAGAGAGAGAGGGAGGCAGAGGATCCAAAGTAGGCTCTGTGCTGACAGCAGTGAGCCCAGTGCGGGGCTCCAACTCACAAACCGTGAGATCATAACCTGAGCCAAGCTGGACACTCAACCACCTGAGCCTCCCAGGCACCCCAATTATTTGACCTTTTCACATGGTATGCAGAGGTCAGACAGGATGGATTGGTTTTCCACTTGGGAGTTGTGCAGGCTAGGAGTGCCTACTCTCAAGATGTCCCTATCCTAATCCCCAGAATATGTATGTTACCTTCCATGGCAAAAGGGACTTTCTAGATGCAATTACATTAAGGATTTTGAAATGGGGAGATTAACCTGGATTACCTGGATGAGTTCAGTGAGATCACAAGGATGGATAAATGCCAAGGAATGCCAGCATCCTCTAGAAACTGAAAAAGTCAAGGAAATGAATTCTCCCCTAAAGCCTCCAGAAGAAACATGGCCCTACTGACACTTTGAGTTTAGGCTTCTGACATCCAGTAGTGTAAGAGAATAAATTTGTGTTGTAAGTTACTAAATTTGTGGTCATTTGTTACAGTAGTAGGAAACTTACACAGTGGTCTTGGATAAAGAAAAGAGGCTCCAGGTGATCAACTTGAGAAGGGGTCAAGAGTGATGGCTTGTTTGGATTTGGGTCCCCGACAAAGGGCCCTTCAGAACCATGACACCAGCATAACCCAAGATTTCAGCAAAAGAGAAGGTACTTGGTTGGGCTTACGTCTTGGGCTAGAGAGTGAAATTTCCAACACAAATTCACACACTTGAATTCAGGATAGACTGTTAAAAAAAATTAAAGCAATGTAGAAACTACTAGATCAGTGATGTCTAATGATGTTCTGCAAAGATGGGAATGTTCTACATATGCATCATCAAATATGGTGGCCTCTAGCTAAATGTGGCTAGTATGACTGATGACCTGAATTTTTAATTTAATTTAAATGTAAATGATTTAAATACAGACATGTGACAAGTGGTGATCATATTGGATAGCTTTAGGTCAGCACCGTCTAATAGAAATATAACGTGAGCCACATACATAATTCAAAATTTTCTAGTAGCCACACTTGACAAAAAGGAGAAAGAAGCAAATGAAACTAATTTAGTAATGTATATATATTTTAACCCACATCTTAAACATGTGATTTCAATATGTAACCAATATAAAAAGTATTAATGAGATATTTAGAATTCCTTTTTTCATACTTTTTTTTTTTTTTTTTTTACAAAGTCTTCAAATTTAGTGTGTATTCCACACATAAAACACATCTCATTCCAGGGGTGCTTTGGTGGCTCAGTTGATTAAGTGTCCGACTTTGGCTCAGGTCATGACCTCATGGTTCATGGGTTCAAGCCCCACATTGGGCTCTGTGCTGACAGCTCAGAGCCTGAAGCCTCCTTCAGATTCTGTGTCTCCCTCTCTGTCTGCCACTCCCCTACTCATTCTCTGTCTCTTTGTCTCTCAAAAATAAACAAAAGTTAAAAACAAAGCCCACATCTCACTCTGGACTGGCCACATTTCTGGTGTTCAATAGCCACATGTGGCTAGTGGCTACTGCAGCAAACAATGCCAATATTAAGTCACTGATGAGGAATTGGGGCCCAAAAGGTGAAATGATTTGCTTCCAAGTTTATTTCTCCTGTAAGACCTTTTGGTCTTGGCTGCTCAGCTTCCCTCCAAGAGATACATAACTTCTGACAATCAGAAAGGAAAGAAAGTTTAAGTTTTTGTCCCTACCAACTTATTTCTGAATTCCTGCAGATAAATACTTAATGTAACTCTCAAAATATAGCCTGTGAATTGGCGGGCTGATTGGATTTCCAGAAATGGAAATGAAGAAGACGGTGCTGGGGAGAAAGAGAAGAAATTGAATTGATCTCCAGGAACCTGGGGCAGACTCAGGAAACAGCAGTGTGATGGGAAATAATGAAATAGACATTACAGAGGGTGGCCTCTCTCAGACTGGGGGTCTCCGGGGTCCACACAGATTGGAGCTCTCAGGATGTTTGCTAATATGCAAATACCAGCCACCCGTGGGATCAGAGTTTTGGAGCAGTCCGGTGAGCTGGGAGAAGGCCTTCTTAATTGGGTTCTTAAATGATTATTACATGAAAGTGTGGGAGTCATTGAGCCAGGTTTATGCAAAATCTGCAACAGGCTGAGAATTTGTAAAGGAGCTTGTATTGCTTTAGAAAATTAAAAATGCTTTGGTCCTGGGTCATCATTAGTCTAAATATGCTGGGCTCAACTAAAGGGAAAATGTGATGTCATAGGAGAGTTTCAAAACATTCTTGGCTCTTACAAATGGGCTTGAATTTGTGGATAGAGGGAAATCTCCCAGGCCTATGGGATTCCTTAATAGGCCGTAGGTTTCCTTTCTTTTCTTTTTTCTTTTTTCTTTTTTCTTTTTTCTTTTCTTTTCTTTTCTTTTCTTTTCTTTTCTTTTCTTTTCTTTTTTCTTTTTTTCTTTTCTTCTTCTTCTTCTTCTTCTTCTTCTTCTTCTTCTTCTTCTTCTTCTCTCCTTCATGAAAAAGTCCTCTTTTGCTTGGTTTTTGCTGGTGCCCTCTCCAGGGTGATCATTGTTTCCACTTTGGTTTTTGTGGTGTTAAGAGGGGGGTTTTTTGCTATCACAGTAGCACACCCCAGCTTCTGCAGACTCCCCACCAGTCTGCAGCAGTGGTGGCTGCCCAGCAAATCCACAGCTGCTTGAAGGGTGCAGACGAGGAATACAACATGAAGAGAAGAAAGGCCAAAGGCTGAGGAGATGATGCTCCAAATGTCCAGTTCCATGAGAAATGCAAATGGGTCTGTCTCCCCAGGGGCACACAGGGGCCATGGAGACTCGGCTCTGTCAGCCACCAGAGAATACACAGCTCAGTCATGTTTTTGCCACCTCAGAGAGAAAGGGTCTTAAACTTCAAACCCTTGAAAGCTCTACTGCCTCTGCCTGCCTTGCTAAAACGCAGACTTCCATTCTGAGATGGATGACCTCAGGGGCCCAGAGCCCTGGCTTGAGAAACCCCTAATCAGCTGCATGAAGTAACTTCCATTTATCACTCCAAACTCCGTTCTAAGGGCTTTGTGTGGATCACCCCATCTTATCCTTGTAAGAATCCCATGAGGTGTCTCGTATTTTCCTTATTGTGCACATGAGCAGAGTGAGGCTCTGAGAGGTTGTGTAATTTGCCTGAAGTTGTATACAGGTAAGTGGCAGCGGTGGTCCAACTCCGTGCAGGTTTAGCTTCAAACTCTGGGCTTATCCCTATCTAGGCTAGTGGTTCTCAAAGTGTAGTCCCTGGACCAGCATCAGCAGCCTCCCCTGGGGACTTGTAAGAAATACAAATGTTAAACCTCCTCTCTAGATGTACTGAATCAAAAATGGGGGTGGGCATGTCCAATAATCTGTGGCTGAAAAGTCCTCCAGGTGATGTGATGTATCTGTTAGCTTGAGGACCACTGTCCTGGGCTATGCCCCCCTGCCCCCCTCCAAGCTGGCTCTGCAGGGAGATAAGGTAGGCAGCAGTAAATTCCTGGAGAATAATATCAGGTTTGGTAGCGTGCTCCTGCAGCGAAAGAATGACAGTAGGGATGGCAATGACAGGCTCCCCACCTGGTACTGTCCCTGGTGGCCAAGAAGTATCACCCCTCCATGGGTCTATTGATTTATCCAAGTGAAGTGGAACCAAGACACATGAGTTCCCATCTAAGCCACTTTGTCATCGAGGGAAAGAGGAAAAAAATCTGGGATCATGAGAGTTTGAGAAGGAGGTACAGGGACAGCAAAGCAGAAAGCCTGAAGCAGGTGGCCTAAAATGATCCACATATCAGGGGTAAGCAAATAGGTGGGACAGATGACCTAGAGAAGACAGATCTTAAAAGTGAGTCCTCAGATAAAATTGCTTGTTCCCCTTCTCTTATAGCAGAAATCAATGACCGTGCTCCTGGGGCTCACATTCATTAATCCATGTGCAGTGAACCCCAAATGCTTGAGAAGTGAGGCTCACGGTAGGGGTGCCTGGTTGGGAGCATACTTTATAGAGATTGTCGGGACCATTGGTGTAGATTAACCATGGAAGCACTTGCCTGGAAGGTGTTTTTGCGTCTTCTGCTATAGCAATGCAAGGCATAAGGCATTTTGCAGAAAGCATTTGTGGGACTTTTTCCAAATCTAGGCAATTTCTGAATTTCCTCCATTTCATAGACCTGTGAAAAGGCACACATAGAGGGCTAGGGCAATAGAAATCTGATGGATGGAATCAGAATTGCTGATCTAGATAGAACTGTTCAGACCGAGTTTTGCATTGTTACAGACAGTGAGATTGAGAAGATTCTGTAATTAATATTAATGATGCTCGGAGGATGGCCAAGTGCACTCATTTGGCATAAACCAGGACAGATAAAAGACACCCCAACTAACCAAAAGGAAGGAGGACAGGTAGCCAACTTAAGCATCCCCTATGTTTCTGGCTTTGTCTTATTCGTACAAGTAAAATCAGGGACTATTATAACAGAATCCCTTAGCTGCTGTCAGAGATAATATCTACCTTGTGGGAAATGTCATGTCAGACTTTATATACAGTACTCAGGGGACCTACTCTGTGTTTATTGAAATTCATCTAATTACAATGCATTCCTCACTTTGGACAAACACTTAAAGCAGTAACCTTCAGATTTACACAAAAGATAAACCAGGGAGCAATTATTTCCTTGACTAAAGGGTTCTTCAGCTTATAAAATGTGTCCCTGTAATATTTATTTTAATTACAAGCTTTCCAAATGCATTTGAAATTAATCCCACAACTACTTTTTTTTATCTGTCTCTCACATATTGCATGAAGTATATCAATATCTGTTGTATTTCTTTTTTTTTTAAATATAACTTATTGTCAAATTGGTTAACATACAGTGTGTAAAGTGTGCTCTTGGTTTTTGGGGTAGATTCCTTGTTGTATGTATTTATTTAATAGATTTGCTCTTCCTGGAAGGTGCTAGCCTCCACATAGAGAGACGAGTGCACTGTGCAGATCTTCTGAAGACTGTTGAGTTCTGCCCCTCTCTGGGATTCTGACATGCATGTGACATCAAGTCCTCTCAGCTTTTCACTGTGTTTCAGCCATGCCAATCACAGCTGCCAAGGTCTACTTCCCCTTGACCTAAGGTGTCCTACTTTATAATCATATATACCTGGTATACACACATGAGTGTGTGCACACACACATGTTGTTATTTAACTTCTTCAAGCTTTTATTTATTTATTTATTTATTTATCTACCTATCTATCTTGAGAGAGAGGGAGAGAGCGAGCAAGGGAGGGGCAGAGTGAGAGAGGTAGAGAGAGAATCCTAAGCAGGCTCCTCGCTGTCAGAGCAGAGCCTGACATGGGGCCCAATC